TGGTGCAGACTCTGACACTGCAGAGTTAAGGCTTAACCACACAATCTGCGGCTTAGTCGAAATTTCTGCTAGGGCGATAGAGGAAAATCCTGAGTCACAAAATTTGAGCTGTTTTCACTCACACTTTCTTGTAGCCTCCTCACATGAGACAGGCTGTAAAAAAAAAAAAAAAAGAAAAGAACCCTAAGCTTGACAACCTTAATCTGACCAAACCAAACTATCTCTGTGATGGAAGTAGAGACAGTCAAACTGGGCTTTTATTCTGATGCACCCAGTTCGTCTCCACCAGGAAGTTTTTATGTAGTTGCTGTGAACTTGTTTCTGGTTAACAAATTGTCGGACTGTTGGGTGCCTGTGGCCCATTTCTTTCTCTTATTTACATAATTTAAATATACCACAAGTAACAAAGGTGAAACATTGTTTTTCGCTCCAGCCTGGTCATGAAAATTCCCAGAATCGGCACCTTGGTGTGTGGAAATTACTGTGGTGAAATCTACCAAATGGTTTGCTGTGTGTTTGGAAGCCATTGTACTTGGCTGCTTTCTTCACAGTGATCGCTCTGTCGAGCCTGGCTACACAGCTCTGGAGTGACAGCCAGCAGAGCTCTGTGAATGTGCGTGTGCATGTGTGTGTGTGTCTCGGCTTCCTTGTTCTTCCCTCACCACTGAGCTCTCAGCCAGTGTCGGTGACAGTGAAATACATACAGTAGTGGCACTGGCTTCTTCTCTCTTCCTGAACTTCATGTGTGCAGAGTGGAGGCTCATGAGACATTACATCTTACATCCGTGCCTCCCAGCCAGGGGAAATATTAGCCCAGCTGACGAACAAGAAGCAGAGAGTATCCACATCTGCCCACATGTTGCATTTAAGAGGAGGTGAGCAAAGAAGTGTGATAGATAAGTAATGTATAAATGGTCAAAAAAGCATTTTAAAATGTATAATTAATTCTAAGAATTGGTGCTGCACACTAACCAGTAACAGTCACTTTTCTAAAAACGATGATTCTAATATCCATAAAATCCACCAAAATATAATTAATAGTTTTCATGTATAATTATTTAGCACCCAGTGTATCTTTGAGTAAAAGGTTGCTTTACTTGCTTTGACTTGCTACCAGGAACATTCATGTAATTACCACAAAAACCTTGTGTGAATGTTGGGCGCTAGACTCTCATGGAGCTGTGGGAGCTGAACAGTGGGAAACATGTTCAGCTCCACTGGGACAAAGAGAGCAGCTATGCCTGCTTACACTTGGACACAAAACAACCGCGAGGACATAAGAGCAGTAACAGTAGGTGCTGTGTTTTCTGAAGAAAGGCTGTAGGAGTCTCTGTGGAGTAGGAGTAGTTCAACTCAGCTGGGCGTCCTTTTCAGTACGTTTCAAGGTTATAAAAAAATTGAAATGATGTCTCAACAAAGAGGTCATAAGGAGCAAATAGCCAAGATAAGAATTACCGACCGAAATCAGGTCACAATGTCAACATTAGCTCAATGTGCATTGAATCTGGGATGATAATTCCAATGCTTATTTTGCAATCTTTGTGACCTGCGAGAGTATTAGTTCACAAAAAGTGGGGGGAAAAACATGGACATGTTCGTAGGCTTCTGATGTTGATGTCTACTTACGTTTTGCAGCTCTAGACTTCCTACACTCCCGGTCGCAGCCATGAGATCGAACCTGTCTTTGTTACCTGTCCCTACGTCACAGCTGGCTAAGGGTACCCAGGCTCTCCCTCAGGACCCCGAGGCTCTGGAACTCCCTGCGCCCCACAACTTATTCTTATAGGAAAGCATTTTTAATATGTGATTTGTAACTCTGGTGCTACTGTTGTTTTAATTCCTTCAGCCAGTAGCCAGATTTACCTTCATGGGATCTGTTTGGTTTCATTGTAAATGTTGTGGTCTCGACCTTAGTATGTCATGATTTGGCACTTAAGATTAACCTGAATTGAATACCTTTATTGTCTATTCATTCCTTTTAGCCATGGATTTTGTAAAGCACTTTGTAATCTTGTTAAGATAAGTGCTATTCAAGTGAAGGGATTATTATTATTACTAATGTTTAAGGGAATGTTGAGCTTTCAAAAGCCTCTGACTGGAGAGAGGCCCCTCGCTAGTGCTGCTGGTTCGTATACTCTGGACGACAAAAGACACAAGGGGGATTAAAAAAAAACTCAGAAAAATGAGGGAAGAGTTTTTAGAGGCAACAGGTGAACGGCCTGCTGGTCACCCAGGCTTGTAGCTGACATCCTGTATTGAGCAAACCACAGGCGTTTAGTTAAACATTAAGGAAGCAGAGAGGTTTACAGGCCCCTGGAGACCTGTGCTGACAACCCAAGCTATTACTGCAATTGAACAGCCATGTCCAGGGACCCTTTTCTGATTTGTGGGCCAGTGTGTGTGTGTGAGAGTTTATGTTCGAACCTCAGTCTTCCCCATGTCACGTGTCCCCCAGCCGGCTGATGGACTGCAGTGGCATGTCCCGGGAGCTGGTAAATTACAGACAAAGATTAGGTAGAGTATTCTGGTTTCTAATCACAACCACTGTTTACTGTCCTGCAACGCCCTGTGGGGAAAGACCGAGAGAGGTATGTCTGGTCATAAATCTCCAGCGACTCTCCTCCTCCACCTTCTCCACTCCATCTTTCTTTTTTTCTTCCATCGCCACTACACTACCTCATTAGCTGCAACCTTGACCTGTCCTGAAGAGAGTGTCGGCAAGCCTGCTGCTGCCGTGGGCTGCTGCTGTGATCGTTGCAAATTCTTTACAAATATGTAACGGTGCTGGAACTGTGTGCTTTGTTTCTACCAAATAGAGATATCTTTTCAATTAATTACTATATAGTGAAAAATACAGGACTCGCTGTCACAAAAACCTGTTGCCCTTCAACTGTAAACTATCTCCCGCCTAATCCACTCCCTTTTCCGCTGCATTTTTGTGTTTGGGGCTGAGATACGACCACTGACAGGAGATTGCTGTAACAAATGCAGAGGTCAAAGGTTCTATAATTCATTCGGTTGTATAATTCATCATCTCCATCTTTTGTGCTGGCAAGTACACTAGAGCCTCTTACAAGATAACAAGTAGACCTGAGTCTTATCGCTTTCCTTGCCTCAGTTTTTCCTTTCTCTTTATCATCCTGTATTTTTTCCCCTTTTCCTCCTGCAGCTATCGCACCAAACGCCCTTTCTCCACCGTTTACTGCATCTTCTTTAATCTCTGTATTTACCTACTCTTTTAAATTCCTCTTTCCCTCTCTCCCCCTTTGCTTTGTTTCTTGACTGCATCTCACCTCTTTCCCTCTCTTGTACCCCATCACCTCATTTTCTCTTTCACCCTCCGCTGTCTGCCTGCACGTCCTCCCCATCTCATTCCACTCTCTTCACCGTTCCCCATGTAGCCTGTGTTTACCTTCCAGCTGATAATAAGCCAGGCAGTACACATGGATGTGTTTGTGGCCCCGGGGGCCGGCAGAACGTCCCTGTCTAGCACAGTGTGACTTACATAAGGAACTGAAAGAAAGTGACAACAATGACCTCAAATGGCTCCAGGAGGCTGACTCGAGATTGAGGGCGGGAGACGGTCGTTCGCTTTACTGACAGCTGATGTGCATGCAGCATTAGGACATGGACACGTTCTGCTCTGATTTACTTGGGCTGCATGTCTTGAAGAACTTAGACATTAGTAGATCAGTTTTGTACATAGATTCAGTGCTAGTGCTTGTTACTGTGTATTTTTTCAATAGAAGAAACATGTTATCAAGGTGATGATGCTCATATTGGCTCAAAAATCTTCTAGGACAAAGGTCAGGCAGAGGAGGGAGTAGAAGGATTTCATAGACATATCTTTGTAACATCATCATCATCATCAGGTTGTTCAACGTAATGGAATTGGTGTAAATCAGTTACACACTATTTTCATGCCTCTGTGCCAGCAATAGCCAGTTGCGAGAGGCCTTATGACTTTACATCAACGTGGTAAAGACTCATTGATATTTACAAAGTCAAATATCATTCACCAGGACCAATTAAACTATTTCTCAGTGGTAAATTCTTGTGTTGTAGCAGCTAAGAAGGGACCTGATCCACCGTCTCTATCTGCTGATGTGTTATTCATGTGACAGATTTGCAGCAGATAAGTGTGCCCCTTTAGCAGGAATCACAATGAATAAGTGATGCTCTTCTTCATTCCTGACGCATCTCTCTCTGTGATGAGAACAGCGGGGAAGGGTAAAACTGAAAAGAGATGACAGCGGGGATCTGAGGGACAACCTTCAAATTCAAAGTTTTCGGTCCTATTTTTAGCCTTTGACCACCACAAGTCAAAACTCTCACTGAAAAAGATTTTTTTTTGCCAGTGTCTGGTGTCTTTAAATGTGTAATGCCAAAAAACCGCGACCACAGTTTGTCAAAAGTTTTTATCTATGACAGGGAGGAAAAACAAGTTGAATGATTCACAGCAGTGACATTTTTCACATGTGGCACTGGAGTCAAATTCCCAGCTTCCCTCAGACAACCAGTGTGCCATTATAAATAAGACAAGACATAGTTGTCTAACCCTAATGGTACACCCATGTGTTTCTCCACAATGATGATGAGCTTTCTCTGCTCTGTCAGGGAATTCACATGGTGCGTAAATTATTATTGGATTATCTACACTCATACACGCACATTCACATGTTTGGATTCATTGTGGGGATTGTACACGGATCATTTCATGTTCTAACCATGAACTAAGCTGGAACCTTTCTCACAAAGGCTCCTGTTTATTTAAATCACCCAGAACAAAGCTCAGCAGACTTGGCTTTATTTTGAAGGAACCACTGTTGCACTGCCAACTTGAACAGGTGCAACCTGACAAGCTGTGAGGTGACAGAAAATTACCCAGAACTGACCAACACTTTGACTCATCTTTTCATGCTGCAAAACACATTTTTGCTGTTGAGCACTGCACTGACAGACCTGCTCTATCTTTGCTTTTTTTCCCTGTCTGTTTCTAGGTAACGATTTGTTCCTGGTAGCGGTCCACGAGCTTGGTCACGCTCTGGGCCTCGAGCACTCCAATGATCCCACGGCCATCATGGCTCCTTTCTACCAGTACATGGACACTGACAACTTCAAACTGCCCATGGACGACCTGCTGGGCATCCAGAAGATTTATGGTAAGTCTTTGTGGCTTAATGCAGATGTCAGGACCCAGCTCGTAAGAGCAAAGGGAAGCAACATAAAACAAAATGTTTTCGGTCAAATAAACGATCAACTTTTAGTACTAAACAAACTACCAGTAAAAGAGGAAAGAGATGTGGTTTAAAACAATAAAACACATATGACCAGCCTTGGCCTGCAGCCGTGACAGTGATGTGAATATCAGTCTGGTCACGGTCCTCTCAAGAGTAATCTGAATTACTAACACTGGTACGACCTGATGATCCCACGGTGACCGCTGGAAATAAGATGATGTTTGCATGCTTCAGTGACTCTCACACCAGGTACACTCATTATTAACTATTAATCAGTTGAACAGTTAGAATATGTGTACATAGAGTCAAGCTGTCTGCTATGCTGAGGACTGAGGTAGGCCTGGCCACTGAACATGCACACAGTACACCCTCATGTGCATCTTGTTAATGAATAGAAAACCCTGTGTACACACGTGCTGCTTGTGGTGTTCCAGTGTTGTTGGTGTGTTGTGAAGATACCCATCAGTTTTCCATTTACTATTTCAATTTTCACGCTGTGGTCCCAACATCAGTTTGACATTAAGTTTGGAAACAGTGATAATGTTGCCCCTCACAGCTACGGGGCTGTAAACCAGTCGCACTCTGCTGAGATGACTCTGGTCCACATTAACACAACAGCCTGCCATCTGCTTACATGGTCAGGGTTTGTCCCTGAGGGAGTGGCAGACCTGGGCGAACTATTAAATTGCTGCTTCCTCCCTCCCTCCTCCTCGCTGTTGTACCCAGAGTTGAAGGACAGGATTAGCGGTGGCAGGGAAGTCTTTTCATATTAAAGTATTAATCTACATGACATGTGGTGATATGATTTAATTATCTCTGATGTCCGTCCATAGTATAAATTAATAGTAAACTAGACCTTCATTTCAAATCTCATTCAATTCACAGGGATCTCGTTTTAGTCGTCAGTCCATCCATGGCTACACTGCATACAGGAGCTGATCCAGACACTCTAAATGGGACAGTTTGGATGGAGGAAAAATAGAAGCATCTGTGGCTGTCATTACAACAGCACGTTGGATGAGATGTTATTCTCATCATGGCTTTGATTTTCCTTCTTGGTTTGGTTCCTAAACCGACCTGCATGTTGGTGATAGCATGTCTGTAGAGTATACAGTACAGTACAACCAATATGAATTTATTTGGCCAGATACTTTTATTTAGGAGTAAAAAATTGGGTCACCGGTTGTTTGATCCAAGCTTCAAATCGGCAAAGAAACACTGAGCTATGGTGAAAGACAATTGTTGTTGCTCTGATTGGTCAGATATAAAGCGAAGCCTTGGATCGACCTTGGTCCAAAAAATAGAATCGCTCAGTGAAATTCCGTTACTGATGTGAAAACTCGCATTGACTGAAAACAGATCTAAAATAACTTTAACGTGCAAAATCACCACAGAAAAAAAGGCCCTCAGTCTGTTGTCATGGTTACTTATCATGTTGTTGTTTGTGTGAGTGTGCGAGTGCATGTTTGCTACATGTCCAGCTGTGGGTTTGATTACATAACTGCAATCTGGGGCGTTTTCCCCCCCGATCGACTTGTTCAACTAATTTGTTGGTTTATCTTTTGAGTGCTTACTATAGATCTACTCCACTGGTGCCTCGTTCAGTTTCTTAATCCTCTTCGTTCGCTGGCATGTTGAATCATTTATCACATCTGGTTACAGCAGACTTTTATTTACCGTCTGTACCCCATGGTTACTCATTGATACTTTTCATGAGGTATGTGGGGGGGCTTGTTTGTCACGTTTTCATCTTTCATACCACCGTCTTGTAGTCGTTTATCTGTTGGCCCCAGTCAACACATGGCAGCTCCCATCGTCATCTTTACACTTTATCTGTCATATTCACGCGTTGTCAATTATTCATATGCACAACTAGCTCGCTCGCCCTGCCTCTAGCTCTCCTTCTCTCATGTAATGCATGAATTTTAAATGACACCAGGGCATGTCTGCACAGAACACTTTATTTTTACCTCACTGTGTACATTTACAGCACATTATGAATACCTTTCTGTTCATCTTAACGTAGTGTTTTCTGCTGATAAGTTCTCCCAAGAGAGTCAGAAATAAAAATATGACATTATTTTTTTTTTATCTCACTTCCTCCAGGGCCTCCCGATAAGATTCCCCAGCCCACTAAGCCTTTGCCGACAGCGCCCCCTCCCCGCTCTCATCTTCCCTCAGACCCACGTAAGCCAGACAGGCAGACGCGACCTCCGAGGCTGCCACCAGGAGACAGGCCATCCCACCCCAATGCTAAACCCAACATCTGCGATGGCGGCTTCAACACGCTGGCCATCCTCAGGAGAGAGATGTTCGTCTTCAAGGTGAGAGTCTGTGATTTGGAACAAACACATTTACTTCTGGAGCTTTTAAACCCTGGAGCCATTTTACCAATAGCCAGGAAATCTGAGAAGTGTGATACCACATGCAAGAGCTGCTCTGGAGAACTGTGGGTAGTTTCATAATATTTTGAAACCAACAACATATACCTGAGGAGATTTCTGGCTATAGAATATAACTAATCTGCTGATGAATGCAACAAAAGAACATCCCATCCCTGGATTCAGACCAGTGCAAATGGCCTGTAGGTCTGGAAACGCCCTGTGGAGAGAGAGCTGCAGCTGACAGTAGCTGAATGTGGTATAAGTTTTTTCAGAACTTGGAGGATTACCTAAATATACAGAGAACGGGAGCTTTTCTGATAATCTGCTTCATGTTTATTGCGGTATGTGCATAGTGTGGAGAAAAGCTTACTTGGATGAAATGTAAGCTATTACACCTTAGTAGAAAAGTTGGCTGGAGAGAAAACTGAAACTCTGGTTATAGTTTGTAGAAATATTATCTTAAATATTTATTATCCCTGTGTATTTTATTGCATAATTATAGAAACCATTATGTCTAAGAGGAGCTTTTTCCAGGTTACTTGAGGCCAATTTAGAATGAACTTTGGACAAAGCGGTGTTTTACTAAGTACAAGTGCAGTGCTGCAGTTTTCCTTTCTTCCAACACACTGCCTGGTTTTCAGAACAAGACAAAAAACACACATCTCCCTTAATGCATCTTTATCCTTGGTCTAAGCTTGTGAGTACAAGACCTTGGCAACATGCAGAAAGGAACAGAGAGAAACCTGGGGGCAGCACAAAGCGATCCTATGTTCTCCACAGAGAGGAGAAAGAGTGCCTCTGATGCTTCATGTGAGTGTGGCTGTATTTTCTCTAAGGGGATATAAATAGACTGTTTTCATTGGTTAAATAAGAAGCTTGTGGAGCTCGGGGGGAAAAACCCTTTCTGTCCTCTCTGCCTCCACCAGCACTGCCACCAGTGTGCTGGGAGCCAGAGCTGCTACCTGTGGGGGTACTTAACTCAAGCTTTTTTCAGACATGAGGTATGGAAAATTGCATCCGGGCTTTGCCTTTCACACAGAAAGAAAGCAGCAGGAGAGGGTCGTTCACAACAACAGGAGAATGTCCGGAGCATTCAAGCAAGAGGTGGCTCCTGGGTAGAGCATGCAGGAGGCAGGACATGATGTATTAATTCCACTGTGGAAGTCACACCGGTGTCCTTTCTTAGCACCAAAAGCTCTTAAATTTTGTTGTCTTTCCAAGTTCACATCTCTGGGCAGCTTTTTTCTGTATGGCACCATACACACATTTTTTTCAGGCGTTTTCTTGCTATATTCTCAATCAGACATTCTCTGGATATTGCGTTAGAGGGCTGGCAGGAAGAACTCTTGATAATATCCGGAGCAACTAACTCAGACTTTTGCGTTGTAACATACAGCAGTTAGTAACTGATGTAATTTTTTTTTTTATTGAATCATCTCTGCAGCAGCTGTTGCACAGACAATCGTTTATGTTGAAGGAACTGTTTTGTCGATCATAAAAAGTGCCTGAGATCGTACCACAATAAGCTTCTCTGACAGTATCTGAAACCTTCAAACCGACAAGAATTAAAAGTGTTAATATTGATATGAAACAAGAAAGATAAAACAGTAGAGGTTCTAATAGGAGGCTAAATGAGCAGGAGTGCCTGCAAAAGCTTGTGGCTCCATCAGTTTGGAGGCTTTGATGAATGCTGGTCTCTTCTGACATTTTTGTAGAAGCTTTGTCTCCCACTCGGCCAAAGGTGGGTGGATGCGAGGGAACACATCTAAGTGCTGTAAATTCACTGCGTTCACATCGTTAGGACCACCAGTAACATCAGGACTAATGATTTCCTCGCCTTTTAGCATCATCCACGTTTCAGCTAGTGAATCAAGTGTGGTTAGTGAAGTGAAATCAAGAAGGAATCACTGGTTTGACTTGGATTCACTCGGTGAGTGTGTTTCACATGAGGAGCAGGTGGTCCTAATATTTCTTGCCTCGCAGTGTGAGCTGTGCCAGTTTTCTCCAACAACACAGTGGTTTCATCTTGATGCGTCCGTCTCTGGAATCACAATTAGTGACACAGGGCTGGATTTACGTTCTTTGGAGCTCACCAAGGTTAATGCACGATTGAGAGGACTGGTTGAATGGTGGCTGCCTGGAGGATTTACAGCTCCTTATTTCAAATTCATTTGAGTTTTAGTCTCCTGTTACTGTTGTTTATGAGGATGATTTCCACTTTCCTTTTTGTTGGATTAATTGTCGGCTTGGTTACATCAGCTGCAGGTCTTTTTGTCCTGCACGACTTGGCTACACTCACCATCCTCACTTAATTGTTTTGGAAGAGTCAAGTCTAGTCGATGCCAAGTGATTACAGCAGACATCTCAGCAGTCGGAGAGCCCTAAGGTCCACAGGTGGTCCAGCAATGTAAAGTAGGGGGGTTTATCTGGTCGAACACAATGGGAACGTCGAGGCCAAGTTTGTTGGACCTTTCTGCGGTTTGTTTGGCTCAGCTTTTATTCGTGTTACTAGATTCATGGAATCATTTTGAGTGAAGACTATTTTGGTCAGTTCCTTTTAATTGTTAACAGAAGAGGCAACATTTACACTTCATCTACAACATTAACCTCTGTTCAGTTTTCTGCCATTGAAAGTACATCAGAGTGTGCAGATGTGTAGAGTGCAGCTCAGGCCACACTTTTCTGTCCGAACCCATGCGAGGCCAGGAGTAAGACTATCAGAGCCTGATCTTTTTTTCTGTGGCCGAACCCAACTTGAGCCTGATGCAGTAAATATAAGCTGTATTATGTAATACAGGTAGATTTGAAGGTTTTAGTCAATGCATTAACGAGAAGGAAAGCTGCACGGGACACTGTACAGCTAACTTCAGTGATTAAAGGAGGTGAAAGGTTAATGCTTTACTCTTTATTACTTAAGTTGAATAGGCAATGAATGACTAATTTAGAATTCAGGCTACTTTAACTCAATCAAGTATAAAAATGGAGTCCGAGCAATGCCGTCTGAACAGAGCCACCACAGAAGTTGGCGTCACGAGGTCAACACTGAGAAGAGCCTGATTTATAAGAGGCAGTAGATCTAAAGAGCTGGGCAGGGAGTCACGCTGCTTAAGGTGGTGGTTTTTACAGCGGCTCGTTTTTCTCCCTCAGTGAGGCGACAGAGGGTCAGTGGAAGTTCACAGAGGACCGTGTGCAGCTGTTTGGATCCAGTGTCACCAGTAAATGTCCCACTAAAACTACGCAGCTACCATTTTTACGATTGTGGCCACATCAGGTTCAACTTTTTGGGAACCCACAAACCAAAGTATATACATGTGTGGATAACCAGGTTTCACCAAGGATCTGCTCATTTCCTATCATGCTTTAAGCACTGTACAATATGGATGCAAAGTTTGAGGCAATTTGTCAGTTTACATAGTTGGATCATTAAAATAGGGCCGACCCTTAATATTGTCTTATTGAACAATGGTTTGGAAAATCAGTGAAGAGACAATTATAAGAAGAGAAATTAAGAAAGAACGTATAAATGTTTCACAAAACATTTCTGGAACCCCTTGAGGGAATTCATTCAAATTTGGTACAAATGTTCACTTGGACTCAAAGGTGAAGTGACAGGTCTTCGGTGGACGCAGTCACAGTGACCTCAGTTTCTTTTGAATGTGATATACTCATGACAACATTCACTTAGAACTGAGGACGATCTGATTAGAATTGAGTGGTTTCCATTGATGTCTGCATCATTTACAGCCATTTAAAGCCCATTAAATACATATATGTCCTCTGTGTGAAAGAGTAAAGGAACATGTTAAGGGATGGTTTTTCCCACTGTCAGGATGAATGATTAAAAATAAGAGATCACTGCAGCTTTAATGTAACAGTGACTAACTATGATGCATGCCTCTCCTGCTCCAAGCTGCACAGCTCTGCACTGCAGTCTGGTACAATAGATACAAAACCACCTCCCCCTCATCAGTCCATGACAGTCATGTGGACAGATTTAGAGCAGGGGACTGTGGGACGCCGCAGGGGACTTTGGGACGCTGCAGGGTCCCTTACTGTTTGGAACGACCACTTGGTCACTGATGTTGGAGACACACTTTTGAATTCAACTTCCCTTAATGAGAACACAGTGGTCAAAGGAGCAGTAAGCTGTCCACCCCTCTTAGTGTCTCTGTCCCGGCGAAGAGCGAGACGGACATGGTGTATGAGAGCACGTTCAACGGCACAAGTTTGTGACTTTCAAGTCAAGTTCACCTAAAATAAGTTCACAAATGTCAGAAATTGAGAGAAAGAAAGGGTGAATGATGTTAGATATAGAGATCAATACAACTCTTATGTCTGAAAGCCACAGTCAGGAGGTGATTAGCATAGCTTAGCATAGGCAGGACCTCTTAATTTTAACCAGCCAGTTTTATATGTCATTTTGTATAATCCTGCACACACAGTTAACATCTCACAGATGCCTTCATATTTACCAAGGTATTGATCTTTTCCTGTACCTCTCAGAAACCATGTGGAATAAAGGAGCCATGATGAAACTGTGCCTCACTCTCTCTGTGGACACATCTTTCAAATTCAGTCTGCTACACATCTTCACTTTTAAGTTTTCTTGTAGCTCTACAGTTAATACCGCCCAGGATCATGTGACTAATGACTGTATGACAGATAATCAATCACAATGTGCACAGTTTTTAGTTGTCTCCCTCAAGATTCATTTGATTGTTTTTATTGGCGCTCTGAGGCATTTAGTGTGAATTGTGTTTTAATTACAGCACCAGTGTTTTCTAATTTATCAAAATTCCATCATGACACAAAAGTGAAGAAACGTATCATCTGGCTTCTTGATATGTTCTGTGTTCTCTCAATACATCGGCTACTTTTTTATTGTTACCATATTTATTGCACAACAAGGGTGGCTTTGGCTTAGAGTGGGTCTAATCCCCAGCACTGCCAGTCTGCATTCTGAAAAGTCCTTGGGCAAGATACACTGCTGACAAATAGCACTGTGTATTGAAGTGCTGTATAAATGTGTGAATGGATAAAGCGCTTTGAGCAGTTAATAAGAAGCTTTATAAATACTGTCAATTTACAACAGAGATCAACAGCCATCTATAGTCATTGGTACATGTGTTTCCTCACCTTTCCTATACTTTCTTCTGCAGAGGACTTGCTCGCCTTTATTGTACAAGACGTTCTCCTGGGAGCGTCCGCTCTCTAAACACAGCGGCAGAGGCGTTGCCAACACACTCTATGCTCCACCTGCATGGAAGTGAACAATAATGCATAACAGAAAGAAACAGCTGCAGCTTCAGAAGCTGCATCACTGTTCATTACTGTAGTGGCTGCATTTCAAGGTCGTGCCTGATTAAGTTTGGACGAGTCTAGTTGCAGTTGCTTGTGCAAAGACACCACTACACAACTGCGCACGTGCTAAAAGACGTAAAACAGATATTCTGCAGTTATTTTCCTCAGTGGAAAAAAAGGATTTTCTTTGGCCAGAAATGATGGTAAACTCTGATCTCAGGGTTCCGGCTGTGAATTATTTACACCTGCGCTCTGCTCCCAGTCCAGCTAATTGTGTTCTGCACATTAACTGAGTGAGAGGTCAGCAGCACGGTCAGCCTAGCACCACTGTCCATCATATTCACAGCAGCAGATGCTTGCACAGGGCTGACCTGGACGCTGCTGATGACAACGCTTTAGGTTTAACCACAGAGCTACAGCTGGGCCAGACCTCCATTTGAAAAAGAAAAAAAAGAAAAGACACCCGTTTTTAGTTGCCTCGGTTCTGTTGGAATATCATACATAATAAAATAATTTTTGAAGGTAAAAGGTAACAGAAACAGGTCTATCTTCCTTTGTGAACAGCCCTGTGCTGCTTAAGAACATTTCAAAGAAATGCTTTGCTTTGCTTCCTCACCATAAAAACCAACGTTTTCCTCAATTGGCTTCTTGTTTGTAGTTTGAAGTGGAATTTGTAGAGGGTCACTAGTCCAGGTCCCAGCCTTGTAAAGCTTTTTATTTCATTGAAGTGATGAGAAGACACCACATCATCTGTCTTTAATTCAGGGTAAACACATCGTAGCTCAACCTGAAGTAGTTTCAAAGATGCTCAGTGTTTAGGAACATACACACATGATACTGTATGAAAATGATCAGTAGTAAAATATAAAAGTCAGATTATGAGACAATGGCAAGGAGGTAAAAACCCCTGCTGAGATTTTCCGAGGACTGAGAAGAAGACGTGTTCAACTCTGTTTAGTTTATTAATATTGAACATATTGCACCAGATTCGAGACTGCACTTTCTCCGACTCTTAATAATACACATGCCAAGTGTGAAGCCGATAAGATGAGCGGTTCTTGAGATTTGTGAGCCACAGACAGGCTGAAAGAGATTTCTGGAATTGGTAGATAGAGGAGCAACAATAGTTTCTTTCTCCCTGCGACCCCCGACCCCCATGGGCCCATGCACCTGTGCCTGGTTTGTTGGATGATCCATCTGTTGCCTTTATGTTTGTTTAAAGGGTTTTGCAATATATTTCTGCAATTGTCTTTGAGTGGCGCTGCCGTGTTCTCACGTCTTGATCCATGTACCTGTTTATTAAAATCTCTAAGTGAAACGTTTCATCCCATAATTCATCTGTTGCTTATCAGCTCAGCATGTGTCGCTCCGATCATGTGTCGCTCAGCGTTAACACAACTCTCAGTTCAGGTCAGCCGGGCAGCTCCTGTAGTGTTTGGCTGCACATTCCTTTAGAGAGTGTGGTAATTCAGCCACATTGCTCTGAGTGCATTATCGTACACCATAAGACAGCATGCATGACAGACCCAGCACCGCCAGTTCTCTCAGAGCAGAGAACATGAACAAGCTAAGTAAAGTACTTCCAGCCTCAGCTAAGACCAAACCTATTGTGCTTATTCTAGATGTTCCTGCGTCTGCACAGCGGCGCCTGAAATGTTCCTCTGGTGAAGCCTGCTCGCCCGAGCTTTATTTTCAGAGTGGGAGTGGGACGGCAGGGCGGGAGAGAGAACATTTTCTCTTATATAAAGTCAAAAGGATTTTAAATGGGTTGGATTTCACAGCTTGATCTGTTTTCAATTACTGGGCCAGGAGAAAATGCTGAACAATTGAAATCTATGGAGGTAGCATGTATAGAGCGAGTGAGGGTGAGCAAGAGAGGAGGAATTGGTATGAAAGACGAGGGGAAATGAAAAGAAAGAGGAGGAAGAGTCCAGGGAGAGTGAGGAGTCCCAGAGAAACAATTGGATTAGACAGAGAGAGAAGGAGGGCAGTTTGATAAATGGGCTGTTTATTTAGCTTTCACAGTGAATGAGGCAGCGTGTGATGATGTGTTGTCTCCCCCTCTCTCCGGCCCTGCATCCCTGGCTATGAGCTCAGGCTTTTTGGCTACGGACGTTCTGTGCGCTCAATTGGCCGTTCATTGCCAAAGGGTGGGACATCTCTCTGAGTCCTAATGGCTTTCACAGCTGGGTCTCCCCCCAGCCCCCCTATGTCATCAAGTTTCATCCAACATCAAAAAGACACACCTTCCGCTTGGCCGCGCTCACGCTTGCCCTCTCCCCACCCTGAAGGAAATCAGAGACTCTTGGCTTCTCATAAAGCTCCTGGCTATCACTTTGCCCCCATCACTTGATGGTTTTCCTCAATTAACCGTTCTCATGGATCTTCGTGCGTAGCGACGGTCGCACAGGCTTTCCAGGCAACCGGAGAAAGTATATGTGGTTTTGTTGTAAGAGAGCAAGAAGCTGGCCTGAGTTCACCGGTATCAGATGTTATAAGCTGCTGCCAACTGTGCTACATTGTCCAGAGTTCATTGTATGAGTTCCTCTGCCTCAGGGCAGTGTGTGTTGTTTGGTGTCAGAAAACTCTGAAATATTAAAAAAACTCTAACCTAAGGAACTTTTTATACAAACTCACGTAATTTACCGACACACTGACTGTAAAGTTATGAACTCGCACAACCAAGTTGTTTTTTAGTTTGTGTGAATTTGTGCAGAGTTACTCTAAATCCTTAAATATTGAGGTACATGTATTTCATACTGCCTTGTACTTCTACTTCCCTACATATATTTGCAGCTTTAGTCACTAGTTACTTTTAGACTATGTCCCACTGGACTAAGTATCAGCTGTGCTTCCTCTGTTCTCTTCCAGGACCACTGGTTTTGGCGGGTGAGAGATAACTCTGTGATGCCGGGGTACCCAATGCTCATCAGTTTCTTCTGGAGGGGCCTGCCACCCAAGATAGACGCCGTCTACGAGAACAGCGAGGGCAAGTTTGTCTTCTTCAAAGGTAAGATCACGTAGCTCTGTGAAGCTCTTTTCATTAGAAGCACGTCAATAAGCTTTGATTCGTCTTCATCCTGCAGATTTGAAATCGCAAACCAAATACGTGGCCACACCATCCTGCTTTCCATTAGCCTCTCAGCTCATTCAGCTCTTATATTATTCATCCACAAGAATTCCTCACATGGCTGTTCACATGGCTGTTCACATGGCTGCGGTTTTGTCGGCTTGTATGGCACATGCCTTTTTAGTATTCCACACACATTTTCCATATGTGTGCCTGACCTCAGAAACAAAGAGGGTTTTCATCTTGAATGTATGTAATCGTGCTCACTCACACAGAGTGGCCTTGATCTTATTTGGGTGAGTTCAGTGTAAATCTGTGGAAGATTACAGTGTTGTACTGCCGCAGTCTGATTCTGATATTTAATAATACTGATGTCAACGTTACTGCTGCAGGTAAATATAATACATTTTATTTTGTCAATAACTGTAGCTAAACATAATTAGCATGCATAGCTAGGGATGGGTATCAAGAAACAGCACTAAATTGGTACCAGTTCTTCATTGAACAGTACAGAAATATTGATAAGCCTCTGAACAAACAGTGTTGCTATTGATATATATGTCAATCAATTTCCTGATGACAAAATTGCCAGTATCAGGTGATTAGGTTTGACAATGTGCCGCATTCAGTACTCTAAAGTCATCCCGATGGACAAGGTACTTCGTTAAGTTGCTCCTTCCCTCATATACAGGAATCTCAGGAAACAATTTAACTTCTGAATAATGGTAGTAAAATATCTGTTCTACATCTTTTCATGTCATGTTTTTATTTTTGCATCAAATTATAAAGTAGTATCATTAAGATTAACCATAAGCTGTATCGCTATTGGTATCGGTAAAATCAGAATGATACCCATCTCTATGCTTAGATTTTGGAGATGTCGTCACCAGTTACAGTCTGTGCTTGAAGATCTCTGATTCAGATTTTTCTACCGTTTGTGAAATGATCTGTCCGCACATTCTAATCTAGACTAAACTGACCCCAGAACACAGAGATTTAAAGCTAATTATTTAATTAACTTGAAAGAAGCAGCGCACAAACATCTCAATCTTGTAAACTCATATTTACATACCCTCCAGAGGAAGAAGCAGAGAAAAGGAGTTTATGTGTGCGTGAAAGGAGACGTAGGTAAGCAAACAAAGTCTGCTGGGACAAAAACTACAAATCTTCACTCAAACAAGTTTCTATTTTCATCTCCAAACAATTCCTGGAAATGCAGACTATTGGTCCCCGTGCACGCCACCAGCTTGCATTTCTCCGCCTGCTCTGTCTTCTTGGGCTGGGGTGGCACAGATCTAGAAAAAAACTGAAACAACAGAATGCCATTCCTCATCGCACCACTGATTTCCCAGAAGGCCTAATTCCGTCCACTGACCCCATTTGGAGTAAAAAATTAGGAAGAAAATCGGTCAGGAGATAAAATGCAGCAACGCCGAAGGTCCTTGTTCAAGCAGGCATTTTGCATACGGACTAACAGCTCCTGGTCGGACGACTGCTGCTCAAATAAAGGCACAGAAGGAAGCTTCTGAGTCTTCAAGTAACAGCTGAGACTCTGACTGACTTTGTGCCGTTCAGGCTTCACAGAGCAGGTCAGTGAGCAGACATTAGAAATAGATTCAGCATGTGTTCCTCCAGTGCAGCCTGGTGCCAGTATTCAGTCAGTCCTCTCACCATCCCAGTTTATGTGCACATATGTCAGTATTGGTGTATTGCAGCAGCAGTAGTTAACAGAGTTCAGCACAGAAGAGCAAAAGTATGTTAACACATACAGTGTCAGTACTGTAACAGTGAAACAAGTGTAACATCTCCTGACCCCCTCAGGCACTGTCAGACAAACAAAGCTCACAGTGACAACAGGAGCAGATTTACCTCCTGAAATACTCAGTGGAAGTGGGCACGATGGCTCCCGGATTTCACACATAGTTTACCTAACAGACAATTGTTAGTGTTTGTCATGCTGCTGCAACCTATTAATAAAGTGCGTTTCCAAAGGTAAATCAATAAAATTAAACAGGGCCCAATTAGTATGGACAGAAAATTGTGGCCTGAGCATCACTATATTTATTATTGCCTTGGCCTGGTCTGAATTTTCAGCAAGAGGCTGCTTAAATTCCACAGGGAGCTGAGTTTGTGTTGCACTCAGAGATTTTCATATTTAGTTCCACACACACAGTAAAGCACACATGCAGTGAATTCATTTGGAACAAAAAGCTCATAACAACAATTTTCAATGCAAATACTTTTACCATTACATTTCACATTAACATAACCTTGTATGTATCTTTTTGAATGTGTCTGAGAGCTCTTATGCTTCAATTGTAATGTGATGACAATGTTTTCTTTCACAAAAGTTAAGAGCAACAGCTCTGCATAGATAGAAAGTTATATTATGCACTATGTTTTAATAAGTTGATGTGATTTCAGCCCCTGGTGTTGGACATCTCAGTTAGGAGTAAATAAATCATAATCATTTAACATGTGCATTTGTTGCATTTTCCATAAACAAAATCCTCACATTTGTGTAACTCAACATTATAGTGCAGTTAGCTAATGATCTGCTTGATGCCGTTGGAAATCAAACCAGTTTTCCCCTGCAGGTAGTGACCTAGTTTATTAACTGCATGTCCTCACACTCTGTTTCAGTGTAACTGTGTGAGGCTGTGGGACAAAACTTATGAGTGAGTATCACTGATCTGGGAGCAGCACAAGCAGCTTTTTAGTGAGCGCAGGAGGTCAGCATCAGGGATGAGCGTTGTAGAATTCCTGTGTGTGTGTGTGTGTGTGTNTGTGTGTGTGTGTGTGTGTGTGTGTGTGTGTGTGTGTGTGTGTGTGTGTGTGTGTGTGTGTGTGTGTGTGATTATATAAGGAGGAGGAGCCTCTTTTCGGAACAAATCTTCACCCTATACAACGCTCTTTATACACTCGTCATGGATTAGTCGTTACACTGCAGCAGATGCAGGAGCCGTTGCTACATCAAAGCAGCCCTCCCAGCTCTGGAGATGAAGCCAGACTTTTATGTGGGGGGTGTGGGGGTCTGCGGAGTTAACTCTAACTGAATAAAAAGGAGAATCTCATTTAATGTTGGAGAAAGGGAGGGAAGAAGGAGCAGAGGATGATTCTACTTTGTGAATCAGGTTGAACTGTTCTTTGTGGGGATGGGAGTATCTTTGAATGTCTGGGTGTGGTGTGTTTGCATGTGAGTGTCTGTGTCAGGATCAGAGGAAGTGCGACCCAGAATGAGTACAGCATTTGTCAGAGAAAGAGGTGAAATGACGGGAGTTTCCTCTCCAACAAGAGGCCACTACAGGTCTGTCCCCTCCTCATACACTCAGCCAACATCCTGTCCTACTGTTCCTCCATCGCTCCCTTCACCTCCGCTGTTCACTGGAAACACTTTTTTAGGGTTAAATGTCAGATGTGCAGGCTTCATATCCATGATTCATAATATAAAATGATGCTCAAATATCGTGCATAACATGAGTCAGAAAAGGAATATTTAATATCCTCTTCCTTTCTTCTCCCTACTTTCGTCATCTCCGTCTTCCTTTACGTTTTTCTCCAGTAAACCTCCCACGCTTCCTCCCTGCCCACTCCTCGTCACCATTGATAAAGGCAAACGCTTCCTGAGGTCACTCTGTTTAGGAAACGCGCCGTGTAAACTGCTTACGAGACAGGCAGCAGGGAAGGAGGAGAGGAAGTGCAAATAAGGACAACTCACAAACTCTGTTGAAGAGATGCTGCAAATTTCAACATGTTTTATGAGCTGTAAACTAAATTATATTTGACAAAAAAAAAGACATTTCTGAGTTAAACGTGGCTTAAAATGCTACCCTGTGTTCAAACTTTTAATGTATAAAAAAGTATCCTGTTGTTCAGGTACGTGCTTGGCTTCCTTTGACATGTAAACTTTAAATAAGTAAATAATACATAAAAGGTTTCAATGTGACTCTTTGGTCGCCAACAGTTCCTGCTGTTTTATTTTATCTCAACTGAGCAGCTACCGGCTCAGTCTCCAGGCCCCGAGAAACTCCCAGAGCCTCTAAGCAAGGGCAAGGAGGACTCGCCACGTGTCCCAGTCCTATTTTAAATGAGGCAAACGTCAACATCAAACACTGTAATACAAGGCAACAGGTTATTGCCTGCTGTTTGTTGCCCTTGTCATGTTTTCGGCTCCTGGAGGGTAATCCCTGCTGTACCTTGTCCTTCTCCACTTAATTTATTCCCAACCCCTCTCTTTCTCTTTTCTCGGCATGCAGGAAAGCAGTTCTGGGTGTTTAAGGACACCGTGTTGCAGGCTGGATACCCGAAGGACATCACCCAGTTTGGCCACGGCATGCCAGCCCAGAGCATAGAGACGGCCGTGTGGTGGGAGGACGTGGCCAAGACCTACTTCTTTAAAGGGGACAGGTGGGTGTGAACTGAGACACTTTCGAAAAACAGATAGTTTGTAAATGTTGACGCTTCAGATCCTTAAAAACTGGGCCTGAGTTTCAGGGTGTAGGACCATGTTTTTATCGTGTGTGTTACAGCAGGTCAGATTTCTCCATTTTCAAACAGACCTAAACCTTTAGAAACCTTAAATCTGGCATGTGTGAGACAGTAGACACAAACACAAACTGACTGCACGTCCACACACCATCTGCTGTCAGCTTGGAACTATTTACTCCAGCCTTCATATACACACAGTTCTTGCTTTGTCTTCCTGCGGCTCATCTTTTGTTGTGGTTTAGGTACTGGCGCTACAATGAGGAGATGAGAACCATGGACCCTGGCTATCCCAAACCCGTCACAGTGTGGAGAGGTGTGCCTGACTCGCCACAGGGGGCCTTCGTCGACAAAGCCAATGGTACGATTTGTCCCGTCCAATACTGTGATTTGGCAAGAACACCACGGTTCACGTGCCAGCCAGCATTGATTTCAGCCGGTCACTGGTGTACGCTGTGCAGGGGGTAAACCAGGATGACATTGATTGAAATTTGCCCCAGTTACTACATGGAGGTTAGTGTGTCCGTACAGGCAGCACCAGGACAAACGACTGATTGTGTATATCAGATACAAAAAGAGAAAAAAAGGGTAATTATATCCAGAAAGGGCTTTTTTTAGTTGATTCATCATCATAATGTTCCACAGTAAGTTCATCCTGCTCAGTGAGCCATAAGACCCAGTTGGAGCAGGATTGTGGAAAGTAGAATGTACAAGACCACCGCTGGGTGCTCATTCCGGTCAGAGCCAGTTGGGCCTTGACATCGGTGGGGGAGGTGGGATTGAAAAGTGGAGTAGCTCACCCATTGGCCACTTAAATGGTGTGAAGAAGAAAACAGCTCTTCCCATTGGGTGTGTCGTGCCAGGTGGGTTTGGTCTTGGTCTTGGCAGCTCCCAGGTTGGAAAAAGTAGGACAGGTGGTGCTCAACGCTCGGGCCATCTGCACTGAGTATCCGCCGCCAGATCCTTAGCCGGGCGGGTCTAGTGGCGAGGCCAGGTGGAACGGGCATCACTCAGAGCATGAAGGGTGGATCGATATCCGAGGGGATGGTGGGCGTTTGTGTGCACCACGTGTTTTCCCTCTCGCGTGTGTGTCAGCCAGCGTTGGTCTGGTGGGTTGGCTGTTCGCAGACATCATGTCAAGTGGCTTTGCTCATCACACTGACCCAGATACGCAGACATGAACTGGGTACGATAACAGTGTGTATGTGAGGCAACACATTGCAGAGCTGAGTGAGGGGCCTCAGGGTCGTGTTGACCCCAGGCTAACCCACAACACCTCAGCCCTTCTGACCTCTCGCCCAAAATGTCAAACTGCATTTCGCAAAATGTCGAATAATGTGTTTAAGGGTCTGTGTGATTTGCTCCAGCTCATGAATTAGTTTTCAGCCGTGAAGGGACACAGTCTGCTGAGGAACAAAAACAGTTTTACAGAGATTTGGTTGGTTTGCCATCAGACGTCTCATTTAGTTTAAAATAGAAAAATAAATACTGGAAATTGAGTGAAGGAACTACGTATCCCATAAACCACTCTGAAGGAATCCTTTCCAATGACAACATCTCCTAAAAAAATATTAGAGATGGAAATCATAATTGCTGTGAAGGATTTGATCGTAACCAAAATGATTTTCATGGTTGTGATAAACTTTTCTATGGTAACAGTGAGCTCCACCAATTAGACATTGCACCTGATGATTGTGGGTAGTGTCGTATTTCTCCTCAAAGTTGCGAATAAAACACATTTTCTTTCAACACAGTTGATATATTAGGGACTTGTGGCTTCTACAGGAACATATTAAATTGTTTTACAATCTCGTAGCTTGTATGGTTGAACTATTTGGCTGATAATCAAAATCTTTGGTTTTGACTTAGGGAGCCAGGCTTTTGAGCTCTATAAACACTACTCTATATAAGCAGAGACCAGTCCTGAGCTTCTGCTTTGTGCTTTTTGATAGTTTCCTCTCCTTCCAGATGAATCTTTTAAAACTTTGTCCTGTGCTTCCTCACATCATCACCACAAACCTCCCCTGACTGATTTCAGAGGCGATGACCTTGTCTCACTTCATCTGTTTCACCATCTGACTCCAAGTTCGGAGCGTTTCTCCATCAAATGCCCCAAAAAGAATACATGAATAATAAATAACAGGAAGCAAGGTGTAAATGTGGCCAGTGAGGAAGAAGAGAGCCTGAGGCTACCGCCCGGCTGTTAGTCCCACTTTTACACACTGTACCTTGTATTTTCCCAGCATGCCTTTCTGGGTCAGTGACATTTAAGAGGCAGCAAAGTTGACAAACAAAGTTATGATCATGGCTCAAGAAAACAATTTGTAATCTTAATCCCTTTTTTATTCTTTTTCTAGAAGCGTACCTTTAGTATTTTACTATGGATGCTGCCGGGTATTTCTTTCATTTCGTCGTTTATCAGAATAGTTCTTTATGAATTAAATACTTGATTGACAGTGGCAGCTGTAGAGTCCGTGAGATGTGGTTGAAAAATCTAACTCTTTTATCTTGATTGATATTGTCATATCCAGATAACAACACTTTTTTCTCTAATGTGGAAACTGTGTCCATGTGTTTCCAGATGTAACGTTGTGACAGCAGCTTTTATATGTGAGTCTGGGCTTTGTTCTATTGGTGTGGTGTCTCTCATCCACAGACTCTCTCCGTACTGTTTGACACAAGTCTTGTGTAGGTGTGTAAAAGAGGTCAGGGGTGTTTTCAGTGTGTCGTGGGGACCGGTCTGTGGTTGTTGGCTGCTTTTCAGACCCAGACCACGTAGGTAGGAAGTCCTGGTTTTTTCTCTGCCGAGTCTTTCTCATGTTCTGTCACGTTCACTCTCCTCATTGTGTCTTTGTGATGTCTTCTTTAAGATTTACTGCCTGAATATGAGTCGTGTGGAAAAACATGAAAATGTTAAAGGTTATTGTTTTAAAAAGTGATTCATGACACAGTGACATAAATAACAGACCTGAATATAAAGCAACAGACATTTTCATATTGTCACTTGATGTGTAAATCACCAGATTACTGAGCTCTATGCAGCTCTAGTGTGTACATTTAATAAAGTGGTATTTTCACCATTTCTCTCGCAGTGATACGTGACTTCAGCACATGAAGAGTGGCTCAATCTGTAGGTAGATTCATTCATTTATGTGACACTGGGACACTTGCCCTGTCACTCCTGTGATTTGAAATGCAGCCGGAGCTGCTCGCCTCTGGATGACATCTGTTGTGCTGTTGTGTGATACGAGCTGTGGGCCTTGGCTCCCAGGTCGTTGTGTTTTCTCTCCTATGACCAGATATAATTAGTCCTGAGGGACGAGTCGTCGGAAACAGTGGCTTAGACGGCAGACACTCATTCATTGTTTGTCAACTGGTTTGAGGGGGGGAGTCTGTTGTCACCCTGTTGTTAGGAGCAAAGACAAAGTTTATTCAGGGTTTTAAATAGAAGGAAAATTCTCTCCCTGTGTTTGGAGTGTACCGCGCTCCACCCAGTTTGCAGACGTGAACAAACACAGACAAACACATTTCCAGTGTTCTACCTCTGTGGTGTTGATGCTGCTGCGTCAGTATCGAATCATGTTTCACTACTGTCTGTGATATTCATTCAGTGCACAAGGCACTTATCCATCACAGAGTTCAAGTGTCATTGTTTTATTCAGTTTATTCACAGCATAGTAACCCTCACTCCTCAATTTAGTTTTTACTTTTCAACTTAACGCCCCTTTTCCACTGGTCAAATAACACACTATCACCCACTAACATCTGGCATTTATCTGCAATGGGATCGGAAACAATCACTCCTGGGTAGTATAGACATTGGTTTTTATCATCTCTGGTTTCGTTGTGATGGAAACATGACACCTGGGAGAATGTGCTACTTTGGCAAGACAGCGAGGTGAGAGTGACTCAGTTGTGCGTTGGTGATGACAAACATGGCAGCGCCAGTACAAAAAAGCAGGTGGGTCAAAATCCCCGACTGGCAATGGGAAAAGACTTAACCCACATTTTATAAAAAAGACACGTATACCTGCTACATTTTGTGTAAAAGAGGCATTAGGCCATAAAACCATAAAATGCATCACTGCTATATTTACAACTGGTGTCCACATTACTTAAGAGTTCTTTAGGAGGGTTGGAGAAATTTGAAAATGCTGCTGGCTCCATTTTTGTTTGAAAACTGCAGGGATGCATTTTTATGCAGACAAATCTGCACTGATAGTCGTGGCTGTAATCAGTGACTTTGTTGAGTTACGTGCTCAGTGAATCAGTTTGCTCTGTTCCTGTTGCCTCAGGTTTCACCTACTTCTACAAGGGGAAGGAGTACTGGAAGTTCAACAACCAGTTCCTCCGGGTGGAGCCGGGCTACCCACGCTCCATCCTCAAGGACTTCATGGGCTGTGACCTGACGCCCATCGACCCCGGCCGCCCGCCGGCTGACGACGGCAACTCGGAAGTCGTGATCGAGCTGGACAACGAGGCCAACACGGTGAAGGCCGTCGCCATCGTCATCCCCTGCGTGCTCGCGCTGTGCCTGCTGGTGCTGGTGTACACCGTGGTGCAGTTCAAGAGGAAGGGCACGCCGCGCCACATACTTTACTGTAAGCGCTCCATGCAGGAGTGGGTCTGAGACATACGGACGGACGAGCGGGTTGGGCAGAGGGACGTGAGGAGAGACTGGTGAAAACAGGACATCGAGCCCCCACTTTCACAAAGACAAGGACGGTGGACTTCTATTGTACGATGCTCAGCCACGCCGCCTCGGTATGGTGATCTGACGGCTTCGTTCTGACCCACAGAAACGGCCCCTCTGGACTTAAAGTCGACTCCTCTAACCCCCGGCCTTTTTACAAACAAAGGGGGCAGGGGTCACTTTGTGGGGGGGTGGTCTTTACCTGAATGACCTTGAGTCCCAGTCCCAAAAAAAACAAAAAAAACAGGAGGGTCGGCATCACTTTGTATCTCAGACTTCCTGTCCCCTCCCTCTTTTCTTCGTGTGGCTGACTGCTCGTACCCAGAGGTGGGACGTTCAGGGGGACGCTGCATCTGCATCTGTCATATCAGGTCGTTGATTAAACAGCAGTTTTATATTTTCTGATCTCGGTGCCCCCCCCCCAGCCAACTCACCCACATTCTTCATTGTGCGCTCAGAAGACGAAGAATCTCAGATAAACATCACATTAACAATTCAGTCCTGCTTTTATTTTATTTTTTAAATATCAGTTGTTTTACTTCGAGGTCCTCACTGTTCCCTTTAACACGCTCCTGAGGAAGAGACCAAACGAAACCAAATAAAATCAATTTCTCTCCAAAGAGGATCACATTTTTTCCTTTCTTTTTCCTTTTTTTTCTTTTCGATTCATCCTTCCTTCCCTTCTCTGGATCATTGTGGAGACTTAAGAGTCGGGGAGCTCTTGACTGTTGTGGCAGTCTGTTTGAGACACAGGGGCCAAATTATTCTGCAATATTTTAACTCGCCTTAATTATAGATCATACTTGTGCTTGGTTTTCGCTGTTCTTGGTGTTATTTTATGTTTTTTTTGTATACCACTGTTTGTTTGTTTGTTTGTTTGTAAAGGAGCTAATTCGGAGCTTCCTGTGATTAGTATTTCTGTATTTTATTATGTTACCCAGAGGCCTCAGCACTGGTTTGCTGAGAGTTCTGGACATAAAAAACTAGGGTCAGCCTGTATTGAGAGAAACGTACTGTATTGTAACAAGATGATGGAAGGTTCTGGAGTAAAGCCACTATTTTTATGTGTTACTTTTATTATTTCCACATGACACGAGCTCATCAAGAGTTTGACAGTCTTATTATTGCATTTGCATTATTTTTTTGTCCGTGGCCCATAATTCCCCTCAGTTTGTGCATCCAAACTGGTCATTGTGTATGGTTGTATGAGATTGGACAGACTTTTTTTTTTCAAAGACGTCCTGTTGACTGCCTTGTTTGAGAGAGCTCACAGTTCCCATAATGCTCTTTGTCTCCTGACTGAGGACCCACTTAAGTGAGACACCAAGTCGAGATCAGTGCCTGTGTCAACGTGCATGCAAGCATTAACTGTACAACTGCTCAACGTGGCTTTGGTTTTTCTTTTCTTGAAAATACTGTTTGCATTTATTTTTGTACATTTCAAGTGTAACCACCCCCCCTACCTCCAGGTACTAAGAATAAAAAAAGATAAGTCAGGTGATACATCTTTGTGAGATCTGATGGATGATTGGCAAAGAAAATTGGCCTCAAGACACAAAAACCGACCGTTAGGAAACACATCGTGTCCTCGCAGCCTTTGAATGTGTCTGTTTTCATGATCAAATACTGTTTTTTGTTTTAATTCTCTTCTTCTTCCTGTTTTCTGGTTAAAACTAATCGGACATCTCACAGTGACTTCTTTGTGTAAGACTTTGGGACAACGGAGAAACGTGTCCCGACAGAATGAATAAAATGATCACAACATGAATAAGAGCTGCTTCCCAGTTATCTGCTCGTCTTTTCACTTGAACGTAGCTGTTTGCACATACGTTTGGCTCATCCACTGCTCCACTGTGCTGCTCAGTCTGGTTTGAACTCAGGTTAAGAGGAAGTTGTTCTCTGTAACTCGTCAAGTAACAAGCCTGAAGTGGCAGCAAGAGGCAACGTGAACACACAGAATATCCTCAGGTAACAAAAGCTAACAGCACACTCATCTTTTCAATAATTCATACCCAAAGATATGAAGGTAAAACAAGTCAAATTTTATAAACCGAGCCTCTGCCACAACATAAAAAGAAAAGAATACGTAAACTTTATGTTTCATTTAAAGAAAAGAATAAAACAAATAGTTTTAAAAGGTAAAAACTTTCATCAACTTGAAATTTGATTTAAAGAGAAAAGTTTGACATCTTGGGAAATGTGTTATGTAATGTCAGAGGTGTGATACCACACTTTATTTAGAGATTGAAAATAGGGGAAACAGTCAGCCTGGCTCTGTCCAAAAGAATCATCCACCGAATTGACTGACATCATTCTGTGTAAGTGTTTATAAAGATGGACAACACAACAGCTTCTTGCCCATGTTAATGGACGGGACAGACCAAACAAAAAGTTGATTCATAAGTCAATTATGAAGTCTTACGTGTTCGTCCAAGTGTTTGTTTTTTCAGGTAAGTTTGTTTTTTATTAGTTATTTGTTGTGATAAAAACATGGTGAAAGGTCTTGATTGACAGCTAAGACCGTTTGTGGTTTCAGCACTCTTGTCATCACTGAAGTAGCTAGGCAACCTGCCGAGACTCCAAGAAAACAGCCAACCAAGATCTGCTACAACCTCAGGAGGTGACAAGTATTCCAGAAAGCAACTTTATTTGTCCCTAAAGGGCAATTTGTGTTCACAACAAGAAAAAACAACACGTAACATATAAAAGAATACAGACATAAGGGAAGTGGGAGGAATGTTAAGCATCATTAACCTAAAAGTTTCAAGACAATTTGTGGCAAAGTATAACCATATAAATAATACCATTTAAATAACATGTAAATACTTGAGAAGAAAAAAAATACCTGAATAAATAAAATCGCAGTGGTGATGGTGGACTTTGAATACTAGACAATGAAGGTTTAGGTTTACAGTACGTTATTTCAATAATTGTATTCCTTCTGGAAAATAAAGTTTGGCATCAGAGTATAAATCTTATTCGAGGAGAGGAGCTTTTGGCCCCGTATCTACGCATGTAACCACATGTCAATCCAAGAAAAGACATGTATTACAATACACATAAGCAGTGCAGTCTTTAAAATGTATTTGAATGTCTATCATGTTTGGATAACAAGCATATCTTGTGACTGTTTCAGTCAAATACCTCTCAGAGCATCGTCAGGTTTGGTTGAGTTGAAGTGTAATCAGTCCTCAAGTCCTCGGGATACCTGAGATGAACTCGGCCTGAAGTTCTGCACATGACCCAACCGCATTTTTTGTTTTTTAATACGGGTTAAACAAACTAGACAGAACGTGTCCATCTGCGAGCCTTAGAGCTGCTGGACTTTGTTAACATTAAAACAAGGATAGGGTGATAACAATCAGTGCGTCAGATGTTCGATCCCAGCGGTGCAGCGCTGGCATTTATTGTGGTGTGGATGTGAAACAGGAGCCGTCCAGTGTTTATCTGAGCTTTGCTGGGATACATTTTACACACAGTTACTGACAAGAGAGACAGTGAGGTCAAGCCAGTTTACCGACTGTGGCCACTCCGTCTGTGTGTGTGTGTGTGTGTGTGTGTGTGTGTGTGTGTGTGTGTGTGATGAAATGAAATTACACTCTTAGGAATAACACTTCATTGGTTCTCATCACAGGACTGTTCAGTGGTGAAATTGCCTCTCTGCTTTTAGACAAAGGCATTATATGTCCAGCTATGTTTAGACTAGTGCTTTTTCCTCAGGCTCTTACTCATTATCTTCTCCCTCCATCTCTGTAAATATAGACCCAGTGTGTGGGACTGTTCTCGCTCACAACTCCCGGCCCTTTTGTGCACTGCACGTACCCGTCCTCCGGCAGTAATACGAGCAGTTTGGTTCAGTTTGTGTGTACACGTGTTGTTGTGCACTGAGCAGAGTGCAGTGTGGGTGTTAAAGTGAAAAAGTATTTGGTCAACAAACTCCACGTTGCTTCGCCTGCCATGGTCTGTATGTGTCTCAGGATCTGTCTAGGATATAATGAGGGAATGGCTTTCTGCTTCTTCACCCAGTGCATGTTTGCTGGAGTGTGTGTGTGTGTGTGTGTGTGTGTGTGTGTGTGTGTGTAAGAATTTTGTAACCTTTTTAGGAACATTTCCAGCATATACAATGATGATGGTCAGGACATTTGGGAACCCATGCCTGGTCCTACTGAGGCTAAACATCACAGAGCTCCTGGTTAAGGTTCGAGGTAAGATGTGAATGGGGGTTACATTACATTTCGGGCCGAAATATACTTCCTGTTTGCTATGGTTACACAGGATGGCTTGTTTGTACGTCAAACAGCATGTATACTGCAAGCCTTAGGGTTGGTAGAATGGAATTGGTGTGTATGAGCATGTCGACTTCAAAACCCTGTGGTCCCAGCAGCCTCCTCTGCTAAGCTGACCTACCCCGGCCAGGTGCCCTCCTCCTCCTCCTGCTGTCATTGGCTCAGAACGTGAGTAATTACAACATGAACCAAAGTAATACATTTTCATTTAACCTGCGCTGCCTAATGGCCCCTCTCAGGTTAGGGCCCATATATCCTGTGCTGTTATTAGCGCAGCACAGTGCAGCAGCTGAAAGCATCTTGTTTGAGGTCAGCAGAGGTCAAGCTGTTGCCTTGGCCTCAGTGAAACACATAAAGGAGACTCTCACAGAGATTAATGGTTGTTTACCTGCGCTCCTCTGCAGCAGGAGGCCAGTGGATCATCTGCTTTGCACCACTTTCTGTTGAAGTCCGAGGACTTTTAATGTATGTACTGTGTGATGACAACTACCTAAAATGTCTGAAACCATCTTTGACATTTTAGAGTGGTCCATATCTGCTGAAAGCATATGGGTCAAACTGAAGCTTGGGTCTTTAGCTTGTCTGGCCAACAAGCTTTCTAACCACATTAGTACTCAAAGAGTCCGAGAAGGAACTAACTAACTGGGTAACATTTGTTTCTGAGGTTTTAGGTTACGTTCAGTTTTGAATCCATGTCTACAAATAGCACATCCACTGTATTTCCTCTCTTTATTGTAGCTGGTCCTAGATCCAGGTTTAGGCTGAAATTAGCAGACGCTCACAACCAATCCCCCAGATCAAGATCGGCAGATCAATTCAGTGTTGCATGTGTATTCTCTGCCTCATTAACTGCTTAAGCCTCAATTTTTGTTGCACCACAATAGGTCAAATGTCTCCCTTTGCTAGAAACTCTTAAAAGATATACGGCACATATCTTATTCAAAAAACTCAGGAAGATAACATTTACGTAACTAGGTGACAGGAACAGTTCTATTCTGATGAAACAAGAAACCGGACATTTATAGTCACTTCTGTTTTTTTTAGCTACTGACCCTTGTGTCTTATTTCTGTTCACTGTACTTACTGTCACTGTCCCTGCTGATTACATTCCCTGCCCTGGTGCACTGCCACTTTGTCTCGTCAGTGTTTCAGTATTTTCCTTGTCTTATCCCTGGTAAGTTTATCAACAAGCTTTGTTTTTTGCCTCACCTTACTTTAGGGAGAGAAAACCTGCTTTATTAAAAGCTCTTGTTTGGTGTTTGATGAAGATGGAGACGTGATCGTCACCTTTGCTCACTTGTTCTCATCTGGATGGAGATATTTTGTCTTGTGGACAGTTTCCTTTTTTCCGACCATTATACCACTGTTGTATTCTGTCATTGGAAGCACCACTGAAAAGATCTCTGGCATTTCTCGTCAGAAACAGTAAAGCTCACTTACTCAGGACAGTTTGACGTGTAAAACATTACAAATTATCAAGAAACGCAGAGGTTTCAACTGTTCACTGCAGGTATTTGAATAGTATGCATCAATACCTGACATCTAAAATATGGTTTTCTCACAATTTTGCATTACTTGTTATCTTGTCTGCTTTAACGTCCTTCCCTCACATCCTTCAGAGATCCTCTGTCGTTCCTTCAAAGAGATGAGCAACAGTGTGCCGTGTTTCTTCTCTTTTCATAAAGAAATAGAATAGTTATAGTTATACTGGAGTGTGACAGATGAAATCCAACTCATCTCCCTCAGGTTCATTCAGAGGGAAAAAGCCTTTCTACTCAGACAATGTTTCTGCAGCTTCGAACAACCTCAATAAGGACAGGAGGAATCAGAAACAGTAGAGATTTATGATTGAATGAAGCAACAACACTCCGGGCTCTACATCTACAGAGAAATAGCCATTTCTGTGTTTTCTGCTCGGACCAGACTCTCTCATAATGTGTT